ACCTAAGCGTGCACCAAATAAATAAATAAATAAATAAATAAATAAATAAATAAATAAAGAATCACAAGAAAGAATGGCAACACACAACATCCGATACGGGACCTTAGGAAGCCAGAGCAACTGACTGCCCTCAACTCCACGGTATAGCCTACTTTCCCAACCCCTTTCGTGTTTACGATATAGTCTTGACTGACGGACTCTTTTATATTTCATACCTAAGTCACAAGACGGTATAGTAACATTGCTTGACACGCAAGTAGTAGCGGGCAAAGAATGGGTAATTTTAGTATCAACGATCTCTGGAAACCGTGCATCATCTACAGTCTGCGAAGAAAACGGTGAGACTCGAGGTGGATCCCAAGGATGCACGGAAACGATTATTCTAGAACGATGAAGTCCAGCGAGTTGCGAGATAGAAGAAAGCAGCTCACAGGCGTTAGCAAATACGCGAAAAACTTTTCTGACTGGCCAAAGCCCGGCGTCGAGCCAGTGAAGACTCCGCAGTGATGAGGGCTGTGAAAAACGGTGCTATTAAGCAGTCGAATGAGCGCAGCATGGAAAAAAAGGAGGGAGCTCATCGGTACTCTCTAATCAACGGTGTTTCAGGATGCTCAAAGGGAATTTGTATCGGGAAGCGGTTGAGCCCATGACACTTCAAGGCAGCGGCGGTGGTTCGTAACAAGACTCATAAGAAGCAGCTTCACTTCGGCGAAATCAGGATGCTCAGATGGGTCTGATGTCGGACGCGACTGAACCGGATCAGAAACGAAAGCGTCAGGTCGGTCACACAAACATCCTCTGTACAGCTTTTGATGAGATAACACAGTCTGCGATAGTAGAACATATACTAAGGAGAACGCAGAATCATCGTCCCCAGGTAGAAGTGAGTGAGATTAAGAAGACGAGCGGACCATGCGACGGAGCGAGTTTAATACAAAGGAGAAGAAGCAGAAGATAAAAGAGCAGGAGGAATTAATCATCCAAGATCTAGCATACTTATTACGAGCACTGCGCATCAGGGTTCATGACTCGAAAGTGTATCAGTTTTCGCTTTATTCCGAATCATTTGCAAAACATATTCGACCACCGATAATGTGAGGATTTTGAGCGATGTATCCATGAAGATAGTAAGGATAATGGCGGGGTTATCTATTCCTGTTAACGGGGTTATCGCTGGTCGACAATATTAATAAGTACCAGTCAAAGCTTCGGCTGGCTAACTAAGATGCTCAGTTGCAAGGAAAGTCGCTGTATACGCAACACAGGGCGAATGAGACCCTCAATGAATGATTAATATTACGATCGAGAAGGACAGATCGAGACTTCACAATTTTAGGCGGAAACGTCACTTCATATTGAATGGCAACTGCATTGATCTGTTCATGCTGAGCTCTCCTAGGACTGCCTGAACTCTAGTGTCTGAGCGACGCCGGGCACTCCTCTTCGAAAATTTTGCTGTCTCGGAAAGAGATATAGTGGATGAGCGAGCGTTCTGGTTCTGGAAATCGACGAAAGCTAGATTATCCAACTGGATAAAGATAGGCGGCATGTATAAAAGAGCGACCTCAAACGTAGGAGAGTTTCATTCGTTACTCAAGTGGTGCTCTTCATCTGGCGGTGGTGGCGAAGTCTTCGGCTTTGTCTTGATGGTGGTTGGTTTATTGTGCGGGTCAACTTTTATCAGTTAAGGAAATGTTTGAGGGGAGCATCTCTAAGATGAGAGACGAAATGAGAAGTGTCTTTCAGAAACCATCGTTTGTGGTAGTGGATGCAAGTGTGAATGTTGAGGACGAGAAAAAACGTCACTTCGGACGACACGAGAAGAAATACGTGCTACTCCCATACTACTCGCAGCTCAGCATATATCTGGACGAGCACTTTGAACACATCAAACATGGCCTAGTTGCATCGGTACTAGTAAATGAGAACCGTCCTGCGCTTCGAAACTACATTTATGCCTTGAAAGAGTAAGAACTTCTTCCAATTGAGCTGTAGAGAGACCAGAGTTGTGTGAATCCACTTCTAGGTGATCCCTTTAGAAGAATAAGGATTACACCAACACCACAGATAATTCCTTTCAAATCTCGAAGTATATAGATCGCTGGTGAAAAATAAGTAACCTAAATGGTGCTCCTGTAGTAGTTCCATAAGCATAACATGTACGATCAAGTTGCTGAAAATCGTTTCGTCCTTTGGGGCCACATGCTTGCCTGGAAAATCTTCTAATGAATCAGATGAAGAGGGATTAAAATCAACAGGCTGCTTTCATACTTCGACGTGCGTGCCGGCACGTAGGTGGAAACGGACGTACATCAGGGAGCGGCGACTGCTCGCACGCCGCTCCCTAAACGTACGTCCGTTTCCACCTGCGTGCCTGCACACACGTCGAAGTATGAAAGCAGCCACAGACGACCCTGCAACTACGAAAACAGCTGAATGGGATCATGTTAGTAGGCCAGAAGTGAAATACGACTGGTTTTTGTAGACTTTCCGTAAAGATGGTTATAGGATTACAGATAGTAGAAAAAAGTGATACCACCAATCCTACTTTATATAATTAGCTAACCTGTGCATTTGTGTGTCGGTGTGTGTCCGACCGGAGATTCATAACTCCTGTCCCCGTGGACCTAGAGTGTTCAAACTTGGTAAGAGCACGGAGGGCAGGACGGGAACACCTATGGTGAATGGCAGGGCCGGACTCCGTTCACAGGGGGCGAGGCGTGCGCGATAGAAGCTTTATGCCGCAAATTCATAACTCCTGTTTGCATGGACCTAGAGCTTTCAAATTTGGTAGGATTACACTTTTCTTATGAACAGTAGAACCTCGACATTTTGATAATTGATGAAGGATATGACGGGATCGTAGGCACTCGGTGACACGAACTGATATTAACTAATACGAGAAGATAAGGGGCCTAGGAGAGCAGGAGCCACCCACCGATCAAAATTCTAACCCTTCGGTATTTACGATGTAGCTTTGGCTGTTCAGCATGTTTCATTCGATAAGAGGGATGGTAGTATAAGGTGAAAGAAGTGAGTACTAAGTGCAGTAATAGGAAATCACTAGATAATACGGTAAGTAGATGAGAATTTTGTTTTGCTATTGGACTACGACCGCTACCCAGCAAGGTCCGTGACTTATGAAGGATCTTTGTTCGATATCATTTGCAACAAAACCTAACCAACCGCCAAATCTTGAATTCCCAATTACTGTTGCTCCGTAGAGGAGATGGTCCATTGATGACGACATCTGATAATGATGTTTTCACCGCTCGAAACATTTGCAAGTACCGCCAAAGACTTTAGTTGTCTAATAGTTGAATTTTTGATGGGTATTTGTTTTCAAGAATGATAGCAGAAGATCGACACTTTCAGTCAAAAACGTAAGCGCCGACTTTCACTGTATACCATGCGCGCTGCCCTGTTAGCCCTGCGTCAAAGTTCTTGTACAGGAAACTATTATTTGTTGCAAAAAAGGGCTTGAGAATTAACCGAGAGGCGCAACTGTAAAGGGAGAAAAGCCCGGCGTCAGCCGGGCGAAGCGACTGGTCCTAGTATATTTATAAGTGTGTCTATTGGTTTGTTGGTGTGTGTGTTTGACGGGAAGTCGTAGCTCCGGAGAAACAATTCCAAGGGGACAGACCGCTAAAAATTTTGTAGAAGTACAGACGGAAAGATGGGAGTGCTTCTGGTAGGTGGCAGACTTCTACCATAGGGGCGAGGCGTGCGGAAGAAATGTATGACCTGAAACTCATAAACTCTGCTCGTGTGAATCCAGAGCGTTCGAGTTTGTTAGGAGTACAGATGACAGAATGGAAACACTGACGGGTGGTGATAGGATGTAATAACAATTGATAGGAGTTGATAATGTGCATTACAAGGCAGATATCGCAGAACTCGCTACCTCCCTGGTTAGAACGATGGAACTTCAGCCTTAAAGTTGGGGGTGTGGGTCAGAAAGGGAACGTAGGGACTAGGGACTACTAATCTTCAGTTCCGCCATACGCCAACAAGCACCTGATGTCGCGAACGCGTCCTAGGAAAACGGCAGGCACGGGTCTCTGCCTATCGATACCACGATACGCTGGCTCCGTATAATTAACCGCCCCCCATTACTAATACAAGGTATTTCTAGCTATGAAAATTTCCCAAAATGAATATGTAGAAAGTTGAAGAACTGGCGATTTTTTTCGCTTCAATGCCTCCCAGTTATGGAAAAATAGGATCGCTGACGTGTTCATTAGAAGAGGGCAATGAAATAAGTAATGATAGTATTACATTGCTGAAAAAAAACCACCCCATCTTTGATAAAAAAAGAACTGCAGCAAACTCATGCGACTCCTTACTTACTTACCAGCCTATTAATTTTATACGCACCAGCTCTGAATACACTTGTTTTTTTATCCTATAGTTTGTAAAATATTTCAGATTCGTTGAAACGCACGGATTCCGATTTTCAAAAGGCGATCATATTAAACTAATCGAACTTTTGTATCTAGTAATGGTTAAAAAAGACCAGTGGCACGACGTGGTACACTATGCTGCAAGAGCTCTTGAAAAGCTTATTAAGTAAGCGTTTCATTCTGGTTCAGCAGATCTGAAAGGCGATGCAAAGTGTGAAAGCGCCTATGCTTGAGGGTGCAACCACGCGATATTGAACAGATGATTACACTTGGTGAAATACGCTCTCGCTGTCGAATCGTGTTAGATTCGCTGCTTTGCCCACAGATTGGAGTATAAAAGCGCAATAAGCTCTTTATCTCGCTATAAGCTCTAGATCTTTACCCTTCCCTTCAGTAAGTTGAGATCAAAGGAGCAGACTGCATATCAAGCAAAGGTATGGAGCATATCTTGCATGTTGCGTTCGTAACCCCGAAAATATCCAGGTACAAAAAAAGGTGAATGAATTACTGTTCCTCGACTGTGAGCGAATGACGACATCAAGTGGTGCCCTATTTCTAATACATAACGATTGATTTTGCTGAACTCTATGTGCTCTGTGACAAAATTTGAATCGGTCCCACGCATAATGTTATTTTACCAAACAACTGGTAACGCTGTCAGAAAATCAATTTTTTTGATTCACTTCTCATGTAACAACTGTTGCCTTGTTGGCTACCTTTAAGGGCGTCTGAAATCCGTCCATCAGAAGCTAAGCTCAGCTCCACTAAGCTGTTAGGGTATTCGGATAAGTTCGGGAAAATTCTGCCTCTCAACTGTGAAAGCATGTTGCTCCCGAACGCACTGAAGAAGGTGTATGTGTTCAACAGCAGGAGGAAGGAGTCGATAATAGATCAATATTTGACATCGTCGTGCGAAGTTAGTAATCATCTAACGCACGACCTCCAGTCGGACTCGAAGCATGCGTCGGGAGGGAACCGTTCTCCAACTTTACTTGCAAGCGGTCCTAAACGAAAGGCGGAAGTTGCCAGAAGCGCGGGGAGATAGCCACATACTTGTTCTCGCGCTATAGATTAGTCACACTATAGTCGTTTCGCTTATGCGTACATTCAGTAGAATCGTTTTGCATCACAGTATTCCGTTTACATATTTGTCTATTATATCAAGTCAACTGAAGTGTCGTCATGCAATATCTGCACGTCATGAAGGTGGTCCCTATTCCTAATACATAATTGAGTGGACTATTCCCAAAGGTACCGCGTAGAATCGTTGTCGGGGCATATGGTTTGACATACAGGGAGTCAGGCCCTTCCTTGCATCAGAATCGTTCTGGACCAGCATTCTTCGGCGAACGTATCCTTAGGGGTGTGTGGGCATAAAGCTGCCACGTTTTGGCGTGGCCAAGGTGGAGAACGCCGATGCAAGCAGCAGAAGGTACCTCGTCACGACATATGGTGACTGATGGGCAGCACATCATCTCTTGTCACCCGCCGATTGCTTCCTCCGAGGAGAGACTTGCTTCGACGAAGTTCGTCAAGGCGAACGTTTGCGGTCTGTTTTGGCCTCCTGTCCATGCTGTCCTCCTCAGCGTGCCAGAAAGTGGAAGGGGCGATCTCTATTCTCTATTTCATCACCAAACGCAATACGCAATCTCTACGCAATAATCACTTTCAAAACAGGACTCTTTGGAAATATCACGCTTCGCCGACGAAGCAGGAGCATTGAGTCAGGGTATATCAGAGTTCCTCGACTGTGAGCGAATGACGACATCAACCGACTTTAATATTGCTCAGAATAAAAAGTAGATGTGATATGAAAATCCATACAGGAAAGCGCAATGCCTTCATGTGGACTCAGGGCCACAGCACACTTGCGCTCACGCCAAGAAAGGCATGTTCAAATCCTTCCTCCACTCAAGCGGGTGTTTTACTACGAGATCCTATCAGATTTTAGTGCAGTAAACGCAAGAGTATTCTGTTAACAACTGCGAGATGGTTTTCGAGCTCCCATTTCACGCCCACGTGACTGCTACACTTTCAAAAGCTGGATTGCGTCGCACCTAACTTTTTTTGGACGAATCGCGTCAGCGCTGGCCGGTTGATGGGGAGATTGGCTGAAAAGGGCCACTATCTTGATCACTGATCTAACGTTATCGTAGTAGCTACTTTGTGTTGAAGAAACCGACTGAACTGTCTCAAACCTTTCCGGACACCCTAATTTCTGGAAAGGATAACACTACTCAGCAGCTTGTGCTGAATTCATAGCTCAAAACTACTTATTTTCAAAGGCTTTATTTCGAAAGTGTTTTTCAAAAGGGTTGAGAGATCGGACACGAATGGGAAATTACCGAAATCCCTATATGTCTTTCACTCCTATGTTTTTCACCCTACTTCGCATTTACCGTTGAAAGATTATTTACACTTTCAGCAAATGTTATTTTACATATAAGGAGCTCATTCTGGAATGGGAACCGGTTTATGAATTGTACTATGGAGCAGCATTCGGAAAACTTGAGGACGTTGATGGGGGACGAATTCGCACAGCAACTTTTCGGCTGAAACGATTCTACAAACCATCCGATTCCCCGAAAATCTGGGAGAAGGTTCCTTTTTTTCGTATCTGGAACTACTCAACATGAATCAGCTGCTCTAGAGGGTGTGCCAAAGTTGAGAACGCTAAGATTCACAAATTCCAATGCAGACATGAGCCATTAATTTTAATTTACTCGTTCTAATTAATCTCACAAACAGGTTTCTTGCAAACTGCATAATCATCGAGGTAGATTTCTAATATCTTTAGGTTGGTGAAGGCTCATTCAGTGCCATGCGCGAGTATGCGCATGTAAGCGGGGAAGAACACTGTAAAATTTCTTATGATTCCAGTAATGGCAACAAAGAGTTGCAAAATACAGAGAGGCAAGATTAATCAATGTTAAACCAGCAGGAGATGAAACGTCTAGTGTTCTAAGGACAGGGGTGCGAAAGTGAGCGTAGGCGAGCCGATCGTAGTCTTTTTTCTAATGACGAAGGAATTTTCGTCACAGAATAAATCCACAGCAAACGTTTGCGCGTTTTGGTTAGGAATATTAGAAAACCTATCTCTTAAGAAGCGTGTTGAAGGAACAACAAAATATTAGTTCAGAAAGGGAGTCTCTGTGCAGTTCCCGATTGGAAGGGATATTTGTCGAGTGGCACCCTCGTTTGAATTTCTCGAAAGCAAGAAGTGCAGAAGAGTGACGGGGAAGAAAAGAAGGGAGAACAAGTGCGCGCATCAGTGTCTCGCGCTCACGAACATCATCTTGAAATATGATTGCAGCGTTTTGTTGTACATGATGCAACACATCGTGTGTATAGATTCCGCTGCCATTTTCAGCTCAGAAGCTAAAGCACATTGAAATAAATAAAGGCTCATTATTTTGTGACCCTCTGTAATTGCACGATTACTGAGAAAAGAAACCCTCTCCAAGTAAAAGATACGAGCGAACCTAGCAGACCACCTGGGAAAAACTGTTGATTTCAGGTGCAGGTTCTGTTGGCTCCAAGATACTCAGCCAAGGAGTTTTGCGAGATGGCTCTGTTGTTTCTTAATATTAGAATGCCAACAGAGGCATGTACATTCAAGCAACTGTTCACTTAGGCTTTGCGGTATAGCAAGCTGATCTGTCTACCTCCATCGCCCTTCAGGATCACAAGAAATATGGTGCGGGACTGTGGTTCCAAACGATGTGGAAAATGTATGAAGTTGCCGAGATGGGAAAGAAATGGGGCGACGATTTGCCAAATTTTTTCGCAACGTAAGCTATCAAAATTTCCCATGAGAATTACCTGCTCATCAAGGGAGATACGGCACTCATGAGGTAATTGAACATTTTGAATGACGCATACAATGGATACATCAATCATAATGAGAGACGGAACGACTATTTCGTAGACTCTGAAAATATTTTCCGCTTAGCTATTTGAGGCAACTTCCGGTTGGCTTGCATTTTTTAATCGTCGTTCGTGGCTCAAGTCTCTATATTATTTGTGAAACAATGCCATCAGAAGAATGAACTTTTCCTGCCGCCCTCCTTCATAATAAGCAGGACATAGAAATTCGTTCAACAAATGGCCAAATTTGTTTGAAATCGAGTCTCTTCAGAGTTGAGAATAAGAAATAATAAGTGTGTGTTCGGTATTTCTGTTGGTTTGAAACTTGGAAAATGCTCAAAGTTGCACCTTTTTAAGGCAGTTTCATCTCTTCCTTGAGTGTTTCAGCAGGTCGTTCAAGTAATATAGAGGCACTGAGCATAGTACTTTGAATTTTTTGAAGAACTGGAATAAGCTTCAACTTCTCCATTGCATTAACCTCGGCATACTTGTTTATGGCTAAAATATCCTGTTCTGTTGTTCCACCTAATAATGTTCAAAAATATTTTAATCATAAATCGAAATAGGAATGATTACGGATCCATAGGTAAGAGCGGGATTGAAACAAAACTTTACAAAACGTGTCCAAGTGCTACTGCCTGTAGACCTCGGCATGCTTCTTTCCAGTTTTGAGGTTTTCTTTTTCTCTCTCCAGTTTTGAAGTTTTCTTTTTCAGCTGTAGAACCGAGATTGTAGCATTATTTTATTAGGCTGATGTTTCGGTGCCCTCACCTTCCTCGAACCTGCCAAGTCCTAAACCACTTGAGAAACCATTCAATCAATCACTATTTGAATTTACAGAGAATGTTCAGGGGTGTGGACTAGGAAGTCGGGAGTTGTTAACTTACCTTTGGGATAGTCGACCTTGGCGCTCCACCGATCACCTCAAACTGGTATGACTGCGGTTCAATAGGGTGAGTCCGAGAGGTTGAGTTAATATCTTTCGACTTCCTAGACCACGCCCTCCGAACTCTCTTTGCAGATTGAAATAGTGCTCGATCGAATGGTTTCTCCAATGCCTTTTGTCGTTCTAAGCTCCAAGGAAGGTGAATTCACCACCGAAACGTCAGACTAATAAAATGTTGTTACAATCTCGGTTCCACAGCTAAAAAGAAAAGCTCAAAACTAGATTACAGAGAATTCTTTGAAGGTAATATAACAGGCTTTGAGCAGCTTCTGGTAATCTCACACGGCATGCGAGTGTGGGGTGATTTCTCCCCGAAAATCGCGTCGGGCTCTCGCACACGATCACCCGCTATGGAGGAAAATTTTTAAATTTCCAGAGGAAGGATTCGCCGACAGTGCTTTTCCCCGAATTCCCGCGGAAGCAGTGCTGCTTGCCGTGGAAATTCGGGAAGAAGTACCGCTATCCGATTGCCTGTTTAGAGAAGCTGTACTCACTCCATCTATAACTATCGAAAGTAAGAATTCCTAACTTAAGTTTTTAATCCACTGACGATCTCTCCACCCAAAACAATAGTGAATGCGAAAGCACCTTACATCTTCTCACCTTCTACCCTACTCTGTATCAATCTTTGCAGCAGGTGAAGCACTTACTCAGATTATGCACACACATTAGCAAGCTTCGCCACCTACTTTCATCATATGATGGCTTAGGTATTTGTTGTTATGCGCGAAGTGAAGGTTCAAACTGGAGAAACGATGCTATGATTTTAAAAAAGATGAAGGAAAAGAATAAAAATTTTTTTAATTAACAGAGTGCCAAAAAAGAACAACACAGTAGCCTGCATTTCAAAAGGAAGCGAGTCTAATCTGTGAGAATTCCGATAGGTTCCCTGGCCGTATCTGCATCATTCAGATTAATCTACCACAACCCAGACTTCATGGACTGGAGACCTCTTTACGACACAATCTTCACCCGTATCATTCGTGCATTAGGACTGTGTATTAGAGAAGGAAAAGTTACGGTTAGTCTTTTATACATAAATTGATCTCCTCTCCTGTTAATGCCACTAACGGAGAACCCAACAGTTTTTAATTCAGCTACAAAAAGGCCAACTGAAAGGGAGAAGCATTGTTTTATGAATGGGCCTGACGAAGTTCGAAGTTTGGGGCCATACCACGGGAGAAATTTTGACCTATGATAGGGTGTTCTATAACAGTCTTGCAGACAACAAAGAGATGTCTACGACAGTGGAGTGCCTCGACGCCATCTCCTCAGATTGCGTAGAAAAATTTCTCCCAAAATCGGAAAATGCCGAAAAAATCGACTCCGCTATTTTGCCGTAAACTGATGTCATATTTCCAATATAACCTGTAAAGAGGAGTGTTGAGTGCAGATACCGTAGATGCAGTCACCTGCAGCCTCCAGACCAAAAAAGAAACGATGAAGACTGAACAAAACCAACCAATCATTTTCACATTGTACTGAGTAAAGTCGAGTGCGTGGCGTAATCCAAAGCAGATTCTGGACACATCATCTTCAGAGACCAATGAGCCCCTAGAAGCACTGAAGCGTGCACCCCATGTACATGCAATCACTTTTTGGATGGAACTCAAGTGCATGGCGCAATCCAAAATGAAACGTTTTCAACACTTTAGGAAAACACCTTGTAGGGCTCGACGAGTTGAGTTTGACGATGTCTATATCTCCTCGACTACTCCATTTTGAAGCGAATTATAGAGAAAAGACGAAAAAGTCGCGAATTCGAGGTATTCGCGTGAATTTTCGAGTTCTTACGGCGACTACTGTATCGTAGTTTATCATATCACTACAATTGATCTAATGGTGTTTCTCTGCCATGTCCTCTTATTTGAGATCTGCAGTAGTGCAGTTTCTATGCAAATGACGAATTACCAAACCAAAGCCTTCCAAAAGAACGGTGCTTCGTCGATGACTATCTGCTTAGTATGAAGCTCTAGTGGAACTTTTGAAGTGAAGTTTTCAAAAAATGAGCCTATACATCTGCCAAAGCCATAGCCACGCTTGATCATTGCCATTTCGTTTCTATGATAATTCGAAGGTAATAGAGTCATTACTTGCTAGCAAACGTGTCTTTTTTGTCAAGAACCGTTACAGTTGCTGGTTTGAGTCGCGACAGACAACCTCAGTCTTCTGGCTTTTACTTTTTTATTTTTTATAAGAGCACAGTTCACGATAATTTTGGGATAAGCGGTTCTCGACGGAAAATGAACGATACAGCCTACAGTAGTAAAAAGATAAAGAAAAAACACTAAAAAAGAATATATGAAAAAGTAAAGGAGAGAAAAATAGTAAAAANAAAAATGGCGTCGGACGAGTTTGAGGAAGAAAAAATCGTGGAAGAAGTAAAAAAGAATCCGGTAATGAACAGTTGCATAAAAGGGGAAAAATGAAAGAACAGTAAGCTCTGGGTTAGACACAGTTGTAACGGTGGAGAAAGACCTCTTCGGTGGGAGCCCTTATTTAAAAGGTATATGACAAAGGTTAGAAGCGAACGCTCCAAAGCCTATAAGTGGCTATTAGTATGTGATGCATCACGCCTCCTAATTCAAATTATTCCCATTCACTGGTTCCCATCTGTTTTCTAAAGAAGTATTTATTCGAATAGTACTCTGATAAATGCACTTTTTCTTATCCATCATCTGACAGCTCGGACAACGACAGTTACATACCTTCGTGAAAACAAGTTATTGAGCCATGATAAAGGTTTAAGTTCAGTGGAGTGACAGACCCTGACCCATCCAACTGTGCGTTTGGTTGCTTTCAGACTTCGACGTCCGCGGTTCTAGGAAGGTGTTGACGACAAAAAAACTACACCAGAAATTTGGGACCTGTAGAAAAAATACGAAAAACGTACAACTTCAAAACAATACTTATTACAAACCAACGAGTTTTTCAAATAAGTGAGAGTCACCTACTTGTAAGCTTTTGTGCTTCGTAGTACTTCAAGGATAATAGTAATGAATATTTGTGGATTCAGTCATATAATAGCAGGTAATAGCAACTGGTCGCACAGTAGTAGTAATAGTAGTGATAAGAATCAGAAACAGAATCAAATCTTGATTTTGGCGCTTTTACCCCAGCAGCTATTGATCGAGTGGTGACGAAACCACAGGGCTATGGCATCGTGGCAAGGGCCGCCGTCGTGAAAGCTTTACACGGACGTGCCGTAGCAAACATAGGGTCTGAGTGTCAAACAGAGTCCTTGACTATTGGTAATTATAATATCATTGTTGAGATGATTTCTGTCCTTGGAAATAATTGTTTTAATAAGGATGCCTCACCAATCCTCATCGAGCATCAGGGAACGCTTTGGTAGGAGGGTGAAAGCGAGCAAAATGTAATTTCAATAGCTCGTGTGCATCATTTCGCAAATCTTGCTACAAATCACACTTTCCACACACGGTGATTTACGCAGAAAATCCGACACCTGCCACCGCTCTACCGAAAAGGAGTTTCAATCTCAGTCGTAGTTGTCAGAAAACAAAAAGCAAGAGGATTCCTTATTCGTAGGTATAAAATCTGAATGATGGACCAGGGAACGCTTTACTTTTGGATGCTGCTCAACCTAGGTATGCTCAAAGAACAGAGTAATTATGTCTCACTACTAAACAATTTTTTCACCTCATTTTTTCGAGACCGGACATCCACAGCGTCCAGTCAGTCCATCATGATTTAACATTCACCATTAGCTGGAGGGATCTGGTTGAGATTTCTAGCTTGGATGTCTAGCCATGAAAAAAAAAATAAAGACAACACTTCTGGATAAACAGTCCGTTTTCCCCAATCGTCATGTCTAGAAACGGTAAGCATCATGTGTGCTAATTTGATCAGTGACTTTTCAGGTCGGTGACGGTTCCGGCTCCTCTAGCCTCGATGGATTCGCTCGATTCGTGTCGTCTACTATAGGCGGACCTTATTGGTATGTAGAAAGAACCTTAAGAATTCCTACAAAAAGGATGTCATAACATGATTACCATTCATGGGAGAGGAAAGTAGCTAAAGTTCACGGTTATTACCTTGTAATTGCTAACTACAGTTGGGTAGTTACATTGATGAGGAAGTAAATGATATGCAGTACATGGCTACCTAGAAAAAATCGAAAGTATCACATGCTTGTAAGCTTTGCTGAAACTTCAATCGGTTATCGAATATTGTAAACGAATAGTCATAGGATGTGCGGAAGGACCTGCCGAAAATTGAAGATTGGTCCCCATTTTTGCCTTGAGTTTCCGGAAGCTTCCATAGTCTTCCCGTGTGAAGACACTACCTACGTGTAAATGCATAACATATCCAACGACCACTTCCTTGCTTGTTCAAATACATGGCATCCAAATTGTCTAACCACACTGAACATTTACCTCCTTACGAGATCGGACCAAGCCATGATGTTATTAGGATCTATTGTAACTTGTGTCAACCATTTGGGCTAAAAGTCTCCCTAAAAGTGGTTTTGTGCACACCTCCAATGCTTCCCGCATGGGACAAAAAGCTCGAAGAACGATATCATGAGATCTTCTCTGTGTGTTGTGCGCCCTTTTACGGTAATGCTGTGGAAGGTTCCGGAAGATGCGAGGAAACTCTGTACTAAAGTGGAATTTTGGGCGAGTACTTTCCACCCAACCTAATAGTACTTTCATTGAAACACTCGATAATAATGTGGTCTAAGCAATCGAAAAGAGTTAATGTTTAAGCCCAACTGCTGATTGGCAGGGGCCTGCTACTAGTCGCTACTGTTTTCTGGAAAATTTTGGAGCAATTTTTACAGCTGCCGAAAACAGCTTGAGAAAATGATGAAAACAATAGAGCCATTTTTGCATCCCTCAAATGAAGGCGATCACACAGCGCAGGTGCTTAGCTTCCTTCAATACCTAATAAGAGAGTTTCTTGGCCGATACGAAGACGAAAGAATAAAGAAGAACAAGAGAAAAGTAAGCTTTTCTTAAGTCTTGGATACGACACGACCACATAATCAGTTTTGAGGTTTCTCAAGAATTCTATCTCAAAGATGTAGACGTCAGATCGTTTGTGAATGCACTACTCCAGCCAATCCTCTACTCGTTGTATTCAAAAGACGGGAAAAGTTATGAAGTGAGCGTAATCAACTGAAAAGACGTAGAATCATGTATTGTACTCATGCATTCCAGCTCCCTGCAAAATTGCTGATGATGCTTGGAACTCTAGAACCTGGACTCGTATTTCCTCGCTTTTTAGAGAAGTGAGTCAACACGATTGCTGTAGTCAATTACCGTACCGAATCCGACTTCGTTCGCTTGTATTTCTGTCCATGTATGCATACATGGATGTCCGCCGCGAAGTTCACAGTTTCCCTTCCTTCAAGTGAGGTCCCGTGCTCAAGCTGACTTGCTCAAAGGCGACTGCGAACCGTGGTGCGGGTCCTTGTGTCCGAATTGCATACCGCGCTCGCCCCAGCCGCATGAAGCCATGCGCTGTTGAGGGCGAGCTTTCACCCTAACATTAAGAGCACGGATAATTCCATGTAAGCGTTGCCCTTGACATGGGATTTTGGGTAAAAGAACTGCAGAAGACGCACGAGGTACGTCATCTGCCGCCGCATGCTGTTCACATCACCGGCAGTGGCAGGGAATGAAGCATGGAAACACCAGAAATGCTTACAATGTTCATGTCATCATTCCATGAAGTTCCTGTAGAATAACTATTGTAGTTTGGAATCGATTTCCCGGATATCTTCTCAGACTAGGACGCTAGAATGATCGAGTTTTGAAACCATAGAGGAAATGTGCAGTGACAACGAATAGTCTATGCCGGTAAAGATCAGCTTGTAGTGCAATTAACGGCGTGTTCACAACTCAGCGGCTTTCAAATTCAAAAAGCTCAACTATTAGGGAGTAAATAAGGTGTTGTGGGTATACGGATATGAGCCTATATTTACCAGATGGTCCGATCGCTCTCGATTCCTATGATAATCAATTTCTATTCTCATTTTATAGACGAAAGAAGGGATACAACAGATCTTTACAATTATTGAAATGCTTCATTGCAGCGTTTACCCAGCGATGTTCGCCGTATGTGAACCTCATCGCTTAACACAAACGCTCGATTGCATGTTTGAGCTGGTGTATATCATTGGTAGCGACGACAAACAAGGAATTGAACGGAAGAAGATGGAGAAGGATTGGGTAGCAGAAATGGAAAAAGTATTCGTAGTTTCCATTCCAGTCCTGAGACCAGATCAATATCGCAAATTTTGTGGTTCTTTTGCAGAGGAAAAGATTGAAAGTCAGCGGGTCTAGGCAGTGTNAGGGATAAAGAGCACGACACACGTAGAGTACAAGGTTTGAGTCCCGTACTAGGCTGGAATTTCGCCCTAAATGTCCTCCTTTTGAGAAAATAGCCACTTCTCTCTGAAGATGCACTCACTTCTTTGACACCTATCGAGACTCTTAGCCGGCACGAAGTCGTGTTCGGTGCATACAATGTCTTGCTGAGGGTCAGATAAGTTTAGACAAGGATATGGGAGCGGTACTGTTATCCCTTCACGATTTGGGTGCTTGTTAATAGACAGAGAGACGTTGACAAAGACGAGATAAAAGGCCTAAATAACCTGATCTGTGATCAATCTGTGACTAGAGCTTTGTCTAACTCCTTCCATATGCGTATACGGCGGTATTGACGCAACTTTCGGCAATTTCATCTTTTCTTTCATCACATTGTCCTTTTTTGAATGAGCGAGGTTTTGATAAGTAGTCTGTTTGTTGAAGATTACATTGGGTACTTATCAAAAACGATAGTACTTTGGATAAAGCCTATGATGGGAAGAGAGGACCAGGATGTGAAAATCGTCTGCCTCCTGTCCATAGCTGTTCTGGAGAAAGTTGTACGTTCAGCATCGATCACCAGACTCTCCACTTGCACGGCACTCACTTCAAAAGCTCTCGACTGAAAACAAGTGGGAATTGAAGAACAATTTCTCCACATTCCGATTTCACCTGTTCTATTTCTTGGAGATCCTTATTGCTGGAATTGATATCAACGACGTATCAAAGGCAAACATCGCAATTCACGTGAGCTAATCCTCCTTGCTTCTGGCGCTCAGATACTTCCTAACCTCAGGATATTCAGAATCTAACTCTGATATTTTATATTGTACCCATACTCGACTACTCGGAATGCGTGAAGCACCACACGGATCTGACCCCAGACGAGAAATCGCTTTGCTTGCTGTCAACCAGACTACCTGTAATAGCCGAATGGGCTTTAGACCGGTAGCGTGTTTTCGTGGAATAGAACTTTTCTTATTATTGGCTTGCTTTTACGTTCATCGACGAAAATTTAGAATGCTCGCAGTGATTCAATGCCTTGCCATTACGGCTCCCAAAGACTCCTCATCCGCATTGGGAAATTTCAAGGTAATTTGGATGACTCTTGAGCTGTGTGATGAACGCAATGATAGCTATTCAAGGACGAGTCGACGAAAGAGAGTGAGGAAGAGAAAGTGTTGAAAAAGGCTATTGACAGATGCGTGACTGCGTTATTCACGAATACGAAATATGCCATTACTGCGGTAAGTTTTGTAGCTATTCAGCCAATGCATATTACATGAGGCAATCGATGTTGAGATACTGAGGATGAACAACTGGTATCAAAAATGCATTTAGTTCTCATGGTAGTATGTAGATAAGTAAGTAGAGCATCAACATTGATGCAACAACAACAGGTGCATTGATAAACAGGGAAAGATACTGTAGGGGAAAGTAAAGGCAAGTGGTATAGTAAAAAGTGGACAAAATTCGGTACCTGAATGCAACGTTTTTGATATTTAGTACAAACGCATTTCCATATTTGCAGAAATTATCGAAGAAAGTCCTGGATTTTGTAAAGACAAATCAGTTCGAAACTCAATTAGCCACTGATATGATTTCTTCGTTGATAGCTCAAATGACCTATGTAAGTGATAGACACTGAAGATTCCGAAATATTGAAGCATCATCGATCAAAACATTAAGTCGAGAGTTCAAAAAGCTAATCTAGGAATGCGCCAGACATCCATTTCGAGGGGTTTGATTGGTTCTGTGTGTAGGGCGAATGAATCAACATTTAGGCAACTGTTGAGCGTGGGTGAACAAAGCGTTTGAATGAGAACTTTAAAGGGGACGATGTGCAGGTCAAACACAGTATTGTGGACAATAATAGAAATATCAGGACTCGAGCCTGTTCTCATGCGTCGAAGAGTCTTCAGGTACAGTAGAATCATCATCATCTTGTAGCATGTATAAAGCCCATCTTCGAATAATTGTTGCCAGCAGCTCGATTTACGACCTTTCCGAGGTTTTAAGCACATTTTGTCAATCTCACTGATGAAGAAGATATGGAGATTCAGTAACCTGACATTCCCAGCAGAGTGTACACGATGGCGCGCGCATTCGAACACCTCATCCATCGCAACCAACCCCTTCCATGCGGCTTTTTCGCAGCATTCTCATCCTCAATCTCTTTCTCGCATTCTCCTGCTAACCTACATGCTATCCATTTCACTATATAAGGCTTTTGCGATGCGTTCTTGAATATGGGTAGGCAGCATCTTCGCGAAGGAGCTACAAAAAGATTCTTCGAGGTAGAGGAGTAAGAATCAGAAACGATGAAGGGGAAGAGTTGATTGTCCCCTTCTCCTCAGTGGAAGACAAAAACCGAGGCTGATCATGTATTCGTAGAGACATCTCTCAAAACTGCGAAGGATATAAGTATTGCTCGGCGTAAAGTTGGCTTCAAGACACATACCTCGTTGCTATCAAGTTGGGCAAGGAAGCAAGGTTCGGAACGAAGCAGGAAATCTGGTAAGAGCTGCATCGAGAAAGAATACTTCGAACGTTGGCACTAGCTTCTACTCTCTTAGGTTTTCAAGGTACGAGTCAGTAGGCTTGGCGCAATGTTCTCAGGATCGTCTTTCTTTGTGCCCACTGTGCATAGTAAACACTGGAGGGAACACTGGAGGGACTGAAGGGAACTTGAGGTTGAATTAAGATTAGGTTGGTTCTAGAGCGCTGAAATGATGCTAATTAGGAAGAAGAAGAGGGATGCACAAAAACGCTGGTGAAAGACGTGAGCTTTGAAAGACCTAGCTGAATATGGAAGTTGCAGAGGCTTTAAATGTTAAAAAAAAGCGAGAACTCCATCATAAGAAAGTTGTGTGCTCATGTCTACTCTTTTAACCTTCGATCAAATGGATCACTTTCTTAGAAACCTGAATCTCCTCTTCTGATATTTTGTATTCGAGCATTTTTTTTTCAACTAAAAATGTATAACACAGGCTTCGCCGAACTTTTGGCTTCCATTTGCGGAGCATGTATTGAAAAATTTGCGGGAACTATTGACAGGCGAGTATTACTTACCGTACAACTGGGTATATCCTCACTAGAGCTCGGATGATATGTATATACCTGAAAGGAATACAAAGACAAGTTACACAGCATTTTTTCGTAAGAGAAAGGCGTAACCCAATCGTTCCATCTTGCTGGGAGTGGAAATGACAAGACAATACCCGAAAGACTATTACTAATATTTGAGCCGCTTCCTACGAAGCGTAGGACAACTGAGAGGAATGCCGTAGAAAACACTGGTCTGAATAGGGCACCAAGGACATGGATGACTTTCTTAATGGCCTTTATTTAAAAACATTTTTTTTAGTAGAAGCCAAGGCTTCGGAAGATCTTGAAACGAAAGTTCAGTGGTTTGTCTCCTTAGCTGGTTCCCTATTATCCACCACTAATGAGGTATTTTGAGCATATTTGCGATGTTACTGGAAGTAATGCTATCTGTCTAGACTTACATTGACAACAAGGATATCTGCTTCGAAATGATCTCGTTACTACTGCAATGCAAGAGTAAAGTTGCTTACATTGTAAGCAAATTTTGGCTCTTCAGACATTTGCATATGGAATTCCGTTGAGATTGGCCGAATTTCCAGAACGGTTCCATTGGCCTATGGTATATGTTGTATATGCTTTCACGAATTTATCCAGAAAATACCAGATACATTGCCGATCGGCTCGAAAGACCGTTGAAAGACTGGGTTCCCGTTCGAGTGGGTTAACTGATAGCTTTATTTCTTAATTTCCAGTAGACTCTGAAAACTACGCGTTTCACAGAAGGTACCGTATACGTAGGTTGCCTTTTATGTTTTGAGATTTGAGAACAGAAACAAATACTATTTACTGAAAATCGCTTTACTGCCTTTCAAAATTCTCCACACTAAGATCTATTGCATGGGCTCTCACTTTTGCATGGGCTTGAACCAATTTTCGAAGCACTTTTGCCAGTCCGATGTAGGTAACTGGAAAACATTTATTCTGAACGCATCAACGGCTTCTTCAGGTGTCGAAAAACGTTGACCTCTCATCTTATTTTTTACGCACGGGATGAGAAGAAGTCACCCGGGGACTACATGGCTTACGACCTGTCAAATCGTTGTTTTGAGCGCTCAAAAATGCAGTCGTTTGAGCCGACGTGTGGGAGGTCGCATTGTTGAGGTGAAGAGTGATCCGTCTTCAGCAGTTGGTTTTTCCTGATTTTTTGGAAGACAACTGGCAAACAAATGGTGGTATACCACTCAGAATTGACTGTTCTGCTTGTGCTAGTGATTCGGTTCCGACATGTCCAGTTTTTCCAAAGAAACAAGAGATCAATTGCTCGGAAGTGCTTGGTGCGCGGACAGATTTTGTTGGATTTGGCTCATCTTGAAATACCCATACGGTCGACTGCTGTTTCCTTTCGGGCTCATACGCATAAATGCATAATCCCCACCTGCCTCGATGTCATAGACGTGTTTAGAAGCACCGCGATCGTATTTTTTGAGCATTTCTTTCGACCAATCGACAAGAGTCCCTTTTTTGGGGATTGACAAATTTTTCAAAAACAATTTTTTTACAGTCAAATGTTCATGCAATATTTAATGTATGCTGGTCCCACTAATGCCTAAGGTTGTCCCAATCTCACGATAGGTCACGTGATGGTCTTGCAATATTAGTTTGTGCACATTATCAACCGTTTCTGGAACAACAACTGATTTTGGACGACCTCCACGAAATTCTTCTTCGAGTGAACTACGACCTCGGGTGAACTCACTGTACCATCGATAAACACTGGCCCTGGATGGGGCCTCATCACCAAAAGTTGAACTAAGTTCATCCATGCATTGCTGTTGAGTTAGTCCACGTCTAAAGTTGTAGAAAAGAATCGCGCGGAAATGCTCACGATTCAACTCCATATCTTGGTCTATACAAAATCTTATAACTTAGTGTAAACAATACAAATCGCGCTCAAATTTCGCAACATAGCCTCAAAATTGTCGAACTTTACGATAGTGGTGTAAGTTGCTAGATTGCTACACTAGTGTTGCCAAATCTCAAAATATAAAAGGCATTCCTCGTACCTACCACTTTATCAGTTCAACTACTAGGGTACCCTCCAATATTATTTCAACAACACTTTCAACCAGGATTGACTATAGATTGAATAAGCCCATCGAGTATCTACAAAGTTACGTGAACACTTTTTCCACCNCATTCTAATCGCCGGACTTACGTGCGCGGGGGGGGGGGATCGTCACTTCTTGTTACGAAATCATGATGCTTCGTTGGCCCGTGTTGCATAGATATTGAAACAATAATGCCCACAAAATTAGTGGAAGAGAATGCTCCGGACTATGTGGGCACTACAGAATTGAACCGCCCCTTTGAAGAATAGCGTCCAATTAGGCATAAACAGCGCAGTTAAGCTCCTGTTCCATACTATTTATCTGGCTCTTAATGCTATTTTCATAAGAATCAAACTGTGGCTCACGATCCAACAGTAATCGTACTATACAGGATTCACGATGTATTGCTGTTGATTTGGGGGTGTGTGTGCCGGTGTGTGTATTTCGGCAAAGAATGGGTGGGGACAGGATTGGAACACTGATGGTGAAACCTTTGATCAAGACCGATAAGAAGCCCAGGAGCCGGTACACCCTTCGCGCTATCATTAGAACCCTGACACCTCGATAGAGTGTGAACGTAAAGTTGATGACAAGCGATAAGAGCTCCTAAAGAGCTGTAGAAGGTCGAAAGTCGCGTGCATCTTTCGGCGTAAATTGGGAATATGACATTTTGAAGATTGGTGTGGGTGTGGTGAAATACCGATTTTGTCCTTGGTTCGCCAAACTTGTGAAAGTTTCGGATCGCGTACTACGGCGAAATGACAGCAATCAACAAGTAATCGTGTAAAATTAAGTTGTACCGAAAAAGCGAGTGCACTTCGTTCCGCGCGTTCGTCGAAACTGGGTATATGTCACCTCGTGCGTCCGATGACGCGTACGGCAAAGTTCGTGGCGATTTGGACGTTTATTACTGGGAGAAAAACTTGGAGTGGATTAGTAGGACCTGCTGACCATACCCAACTATTCTACTTCACGTTTGTGCCTCAGTAATAGGCGCCAGGGTCGTTTGAATCGCTTCTTCGCTGCGCAATTTGCCGCGCGCGTCCTCGGACGCACGAGGTGACCGTCCCCCGTCGAAACTAGGCCACGCAGCAGCCGTCGCACGCGCCTAGTCAGCCTGATGTCACTGATAAACGTCACACCTGTCAGCAAAATATAAGAATTGAGCTCGGTCCACGGTGTAAGCTAAAATGAAGATAACAGGGACTAGTGCAAATCGTTCGCTCTTACTACTTTTCAGTTTACTTCTCGACGTTCAGTTTTATCACCAGCAATGGCTTCACTCAGCACCCGGAGCTTGATGACCCGGTTCCTGTAGTGGGTGAGCTGACGGCGCTCATAACATGCATCTTGGCTAGCGAGCTCTAGTTCTATATGCCCTTATTCTTGCTGCCCATTTAGGAGAAGTCTGGAAAGAAGAGGGCACAGGGACAACTTCCTAACGCTGCCTATCCCTAATGTGCAGTAAAGGGCTGGACAAGGAAATCAGCCCTTAACTTTCTAACTTCTATCGTCAAAAACGGTGCGAACCAATGGTAACAGCCCAAAATGAAAAACACACAAATTAGCGAATCACAATCAAGGAGAAATGCCTTGCTAATGCGCTGGAATCATTCTCGAAAACATAGGGCACATGGCATTGGGTGGGCTGACCCTCATCCACAAAGCCAGAAGTGGCCGCATTTTTTGTCGCTCTTGCTTCACCTAATAATGCCTCAGGGGTGAGTGTGGTCCCGGTACACCGGCTTCCAGTTTATGAAGGGTGGAATCGTCCGATGAGACGAGCTCCTCAATTAGATCTTGTCAAGGTCAGTATCGTCACTGTTACTGTTCGTACTAAAGGTAAACATCACTGAGTGAGAAAGGACACACATCAAAAGGTGCCTCAGGGAAAACAGAAGAGCGGTTGTTTGAGTATTAAAATAGTATTGGTTGTCACATTTAGTTTTTTCTCGATAACACATTGTTTTTTTGCCAGAAATCATTTGCAATAGTATTAACTATAGCCATCATCACCGCAATCCCAGAAAATAATTGTGGAAATCATTTAAGGAGTGGGGAAGAATGTATGAAATGGCTGAAGCAAAAATGGCGTGGTATGTACCTAGTGAAAAAGGAAAGCAGCTGGTAGAAGCACTGCTGAACAAGTTCTTATTTCCTGTTGTCGAGTCGTTGAAGGATGAGAACATGGATAGGTTGGTTCGATGTTTCAATCCCACCTACCTATTGCACAATGCACATCGCTCACTGGTCAGACGTCAATGCAGCCATATCGTCACGAAGAAAAGTTGCTGTTGTACATAATAGACCGTACATCGTCGTTCGTATTGCCCACTGAAAAGACCTTCGCAAATACGAACAGCGGAGGCCGGGGGAGGAGAATAGCAAAGGATTAAATGCGAGTACACCCTGGGCGATATTAGTCTACATATATGAACATTTTCGTGCTCTTCTCCAGTTAACGAAAAAAGAACTTCTTTGTGAAAAGCTGTTGGCCACCCTCTCAATGTGGAATAGCCACATTTGTTGGAGCTATGCTTAGCAGGTGCACTTCAACTGCAAGCATTGGAGACTTCTAATACTTTAAATGTCCAAGCTCATTGATGCACCATCTATCACTGTGCGGGAAACTCTAAGACCTAAGCTCTAACGAATAGATAAGACATGTGATACCAATTATTTCCCACTAGCGTGTTTGTCGCTCTTATGTTCAGCACAGCCAATGTTTCACAACTATTAAGGTCCAATCAACTACTTACTACTTAGATTCACATCAGCATCTTCATTTTGATTTAACTCGCACAACCTGTAATTGACCTGGTGTAATATTTGGAAGAATCACTGCCTTCTTAACATTTATAATACCATTATATTCCAGAGAGTCCTTGAAGAAAGCTCTTACTATTATAAACTTCGGGTTCAGTGGAGGTATAACATGTTTCGCGTTGCCGCCCTCTCCTGAATTCAAGTCTCGGCACAGTGTTGTGCCTTGGTTTAAACCCGATTCTAAGAATCCATCTGTACTTCACTGGGGTGTGTTTGAATTTAGCCTATTTGTCTCCATTCAATATGCGGTCTTTATATAATAAATAATGACATCATAACATATAAATTGGTAAATATGTAGTTAGAATTATGATGAAAATCAAAGAAACATCTCACATTTGACTAAACCCTAGGGAGAGGGGGAAGGTTGGAGTTTTCAAACAGTAAAATTAGCGTAGGGGGAAATGCAGTATGGGGATGAGCTGCTCCAAGCTGGCATCTTGCATTTAGCCTGTTATACAGATTAAAAAGAACAATTGGGGAGATCATTCGCTGTTCTACAATATCTGAAAACTCAGAGACTATATGAGGTATCAAACAGCAGCCTCAGAAAGCTTGTTGGAGCCGGGAGGTGTAGTGAAAGGCCAAATTTATTACAAAAATCAAGTAGTTCTTGTAGAGGTTTCTAAAATTTACATGATGAAGCCCATGCCTTCTTAAAGATATCCGACCTCCGTCAGGAGAGAACTTCTGCGAACATCTTGTGAACATCTTGGAGAAAGTTGCCGAACGTCTCGTTTCTTCAAAACGCGAACATACCCAAGTTCTCTGCACTATTTGCAAGATCCTTCACTCCATTATCCACAGCAATAATGCTGACTCGGTGAGAGTTTCACTATTTGATATTGAATATTCCCAAGCTGTATGTATAATATATACCTTCAACAATCCACTGATGAAGATATGCGCTTGCTTGCAGAACCATATACTTGGATTGAATTAGCATGTACAACTATTAAATCCTCTCTTGTTCGAAGCCCCAGACTTTGGAAATAAAGGCGGACCTTTTGAATGGAATGTGTTTCAGCACCAGTTGGATACAGCTGTGGGGGAGCATGGTGACATCTACACCTATATGACTATTCCAATCTCAAGAAAGCGACATATATTTGTTCTCGAATCGCAAGCCTATGTTGCTCACATGGTACCCAAATGCACATACTTTCACCTTTTAGAGAGAACAAGCAAACTTTTATCTTTCCAGAGAAACGTGGTGGAATTACCCTCTGAGATGTTCACAGATTTCCATTTGAGAGTTGCTCGTATAATTGCCAAACTGATTATAAACGATTATTCTGAGGTAGGTCTCAGAAAAGTGAGATTTCCACAACTGGAGCCAGCAAACTGACTTCAGGTGAGGTATGAGGCACTGGCAGTGTTTTCGAGCCTTTTTTCCGAACACGCGATCGCCAGAGAAACTATCGTAGACGACATTCTACCAACTCTGACAAACCCTGACAGTACCAGGGACCAACTGAAGGTAAGGAGATGTTGAATGAAGCCCCGAAACTTTCATGTTTCGGTTCTTGAATATATTGAGGACCTGAAATTCATTTAAATACAACGAGTGCTTAAGATTTACGAGTAGTTTTCGATGATTCACGAAGTAAAAGGGAATATGGCCACTACGAATAACCAATGCTCAGATTCCAGTAAATATAACGTTCATGGTAGCGTGTGCTGGATTTAGCATTATAGTAATAGTAGATACAATGTTGAAACGCAACAGAGAATATTACTCTTTTACCGCCGTCTCTTCTACTTCTCTGCCGGGAACTACAAAGATGAGCAGCTTGAAGATTCCATAATCGTTCGAATTCTGATTTGAAATATGAAAAATCAGCCGTAGACCAGACCCTATAGTAGCGTAAAGACTCAGAAAATTTGCACCGCTACTAATTTTTATCTCACCAGGGACACTTTGAATGGGGACCTACTTACATCATTCAGAATGAATGATTAGATCAGAATGCACTTTATGAGTATAGTTATTAAAACTGCTAAGTGAGTACTCCAAAAATGTTGTGAGCGCTCAAAACTTGCTTTCTCAAAGTTTGAAGGAATACTGCCAAATGGAATGCGCAGTTCCCCGCAGTGGAGTGCTCTCACTCTTCGAACGCTGCGGGTTTGCTGCCAGCTGTCGTTGATATTTCTGCTAAGCGAACTTTCTTTACAAAAGAAGTTTTGTAAGATTTTTTGATATCAATCAAAGTGAATGCCTTTTTCCAGCTATCATTAGCAATAATTACTTATATTGGGTCGTCCAAAAATCCTGCGACACTTGGAATTCGAGGATCGCTAGCTATTCGGAAGCGAATAGCGCCCAATTTTGATCTACAGTAAGATAGACCACATCTAGTGGGTATTGCGAAACATTATGAAAAGGCTTCTTCTCTCCGTGAAAAACAGTTATGGATCCTACAAATCCTTTGACCCATCGTGTATTATGAATTCCTACGAGGACATTGTGCAAGAAAAGCAGCTAATAACATCTGCCCTGCATTCAAGAAAGATGTGGCCCACCAATCCACTGTCAGTCGCTGGTATCACCGCTTCGAGTCCGGAGATATCTCTATCGAAGGACGGGAACGTCCTGGACGCCCGTCAACTCTTCATGATGATGATTTGCGCAGCGCTTTGATCTCAAAGCCGATTATAACCACTCGG